GTTCATCGTCGACGATGCGCCGACACTCGCCATCAACCGTTTGTTCACCATGTCACAAGGCAACACTGCAACACGGGATTGGCTCACAGAGTGGCAGAAGATTGCGGCAGTGCCCAATCAGGATCTGCCTTTCACTCATCTCAGACGTGAGTTCTACAACAGGTCCTGTGCTGCATTGAGCCAGGCCCTTGGTGATCGCGAGCAGTACTCCACTTTCGCCGAGATTATCGACAAGGCGAGAGAGATCATCAACACCAACAGGTCAGCTGCACACGAGAAATCAACATGGCAGCCGACCTATGTGGAGAAGGTACGACCTGGTCCGCGACAGCAGCACTTCGCTGCAGTCCAKCAGGACAGTGGAGATAACCCAGTAGCCACTCCAGCATCAGGTGACGGAGATCAGGTGGCTGTTGTCCAGCCGCGAAGCAACAACAAGTCCCGCAACAATGGGAAGGCGAAACCAGCATCGCAGGCCGGAAATGACCATTTGCCATGGGTCAAGTTCGGCTTGACCGAGGCGGAGTACAAGGTCCGCGGCCGCTACGGCAGCTGCTATTGGTGCAACAACACCAAGCACAAGACCTCCCTGTGCCAGGATCAGGGCAAGGAGGATGTGCGACCCCGCCTCAACTCGGAAAACTGAGCTCCGCGTAAGGTGAGGCGACTCCACCTTCTACTCCGCCAGATTCGTCCGCCTTGCTAGCGGCCTCCTGCACATCTGGGGAGAACGAGAATTTCGCAGGTTCTCGTTACACTTACGAGGACTATGCTGTCCACTTGGTTCCACCGCTGGACCAACCGCTCCATGTGCAACAATCCGCCGCATGCACGGTTTCATCACCATCGGCAACCGATTCGGCAGCTTCGCCGCAATCTATCGTCAGGGATTCGACGTCATGGTCAAGATTTGAAGAGCTCGACCCATTGACGTTCACGGACTTCCAGTGGATGCCCGTTCCCTCGACCGGACGATTGCCGAAACCGCATTGCGACGTGCTCATGGCACAATTGCGGGATTACTTGCACACTACAGTACCAGCTCCGTTGATGGACGCCAGAGCAGAGGTTGTCGACCTTCACGCTTACATCGCGAAGATCGACCGCGAGTTCAAGACGCAACGGTACGACGACATCGACGCACCATTGCTATACGTACGCATTCAGATTGGAGAGGCGACCTGCACTGCCTTGATCGATTGCGGAGCATCTCGCAACTACATCAGCCAGGACTTCATGGTGCGCGCCGGCCTTGGCCCACTCGTCCGGAGGAAGCCCCAACCTACACAAGTCACATTGGCGGACGGTCACACGCACAAGTCAATCGACCGATGCATTGACAACGTCCCAGTGTACTTTGCCCCTCACGCAAGTGAGGCGGTGTCCTTTGACATTCTGGACACCAAATTCGACATGATCTTGGGCATGTCATGGCTGCGAAATGAAGATCACCTGGTGAACTTCTTCCACCGCACCGTTCACATTCGTGATCGGAACGGAGTACTAGTTCCATGCACAGTGCCTCTTCCTCATCCTTCGATCAGCTGCCACGTGGTATCCGCCGCAAGCATGCGAGCTTCCATCATCAGAGACGACATCGAGGAGATGGGGGTGTGTTTTCTCCACGCCCTCCCGCCCCATGACGCTTCATCGACGGACTCACCTTCGGATCCACGCATCACCGAGCTTTTCGACGCCTACAACGACATGTTCGAAAACCCGCACGGAGTAGTACCGGATCGACCCATCCGCCAAGAGATCATCCTCGAGGACGGGGCTGTACCTCCGGGCGGTTGCATCTACCGAATGAGCGAGGAAGAGTTAAGTGTGCTTTGGGCACAACTCGACGACCTCCTGGAGAAAGGCTGGATTCGGCCTAGCTCATCGCCATACGGTGCTCCTGTTCTCTTCGTCCGGAAGAAGAACAAGGACCTGCGGTTGTGCATCGATTATTGCAAGCTCAACGCGCAGACGATCAGGAACGCCGACCCTCTCCCACGCATCGACGACCTTCTCGAGTGATTGGGCGGCGCCCAGCTCTTCTCTAAGCTGGATCTCAAGTCAGGGTACCACCAACTCGAGATTCGCAAGGAGGATCGCTACAAGACCGCGTTCAAGACACGGTATGGGCATTTCGAATGGCTGGTCATGCCATTTGGCCTTACGAATGCCCCAGCCACTTTCCAAGCGGCTATGACAACGGAGTTCTGACACATGCTGGATCGGTTTGTACTCATCTACCTCGACGACATCTTGGTGGATAGTCGGAGTGTGGACGAGCATGTGGAACACCTGCGCACCGTTTTAGGGCGGCTACAACAAACCAAGTACAAAGCAAACCGTGACAAGTGCGAGTTCGCACAGCAGGAGCTGGAGTACTTGGGACACTATATGACGCCGCAAGGCATCCGTCCGCTTGCGGACAAGATCGAGGCCCTACGAGTATGGCCCGAGCCCACCAACACCACGGACGTTCGTTCATTCATGGGGTTGGCGGGCTACTATCAGCGATTCATCACCGGATACTCCAGGATTGCTGCACCTATGACGAG